TCTGCCTCATCTTGGCGAGTGTCTGTCATCCGCACATCACCAGCAACTTCTTGTGCAATGATACCCGCAGCAGCCACAAGAGAATCTGTAAGTGTTGACTTCCCTGGAAAAAGGAAAAAATGGAGATGAAGTACGGTAAGAATAATACAAATGACAATTAATAATATGTTAGTAATTGTATTAAAATCCTCATTTTGCCGCCATTACCTTTCCTTCCAATCAATAGGAAGACTATACAAGACAATGCAATTAATTTTGAGAAAAGAGAAAGAGACAACTTAAACTTATAAATAAGTATCTTACCATGATCGACATGAGCAATAACAGACATATTACGAATGTTGTGCTTATAGTCCATAATCCGACGAAGCTCTTCAGCTGTAAACTTCACCTGAACACAGAAATTTTTAAACACATTGTCATAACAAAAATTATGAAAGTGAAAAAGTACTTTGCAAATCACTCGATTAACAGCATCATAAAGAGAGTATACTGACCATCTTGACAGGCTTCAAACTTCACAATGTCCGAGAATAAGACAAAATTAACTGCCAGAAAGGAAAAAAAACATACATATTACTGTTATAATAATAACAACAATGCACAGAACGGCAAAACAAAAAATTTAAAAATTTTCAACATAACATCAATGGATCAAATCTTAATCATACTTTCACGAGATTACTTTAATTAATATGTCTTTAAATTATTCAATCCATCTAAAACAATCGACTAAGGAATAGATCTTGTCAGCATTCATCGAATATAAATGACCAAGAAAACAGATATTGAAAGCACCAAACCTACAGGAAAGCGCGCGCGCGCGGGCGAACAATACACACAATTGGAAGCAAACACGGCAGAGAGAACGCTTACAAGATGAGAAGCAATGGAAGAAAAAGGTGGGATACGAGTTAGAAATGAAGAACCTGAGAGAGAATGGAGGGAGACACTGTCGTGAAGCCTCCACAAATGAGCAGCATAGGCACCGAAACAACGTGCGGGAGGGGAGGAATATGCGGTATCGATGAGGCCGAGGCGTCTCCTTTTGCGCCACCTAGGGTTTGCAATTGGGCTGGGCCAAGTCAAGGGAAATTGGGATTTTTGACCATTTCGATACCGGTTCGAAATGGACCAGGATGAGTCCCAAGATGGATTCCAGAAAGTCCATCCTTCTGGAATGGACTTTCAGGGTTTCATCCCGGTCCTAAATCCACAGGGCTTAAAGCCGAGATGGAACACTGAAAGTCAAAAATTAAAACAAAACAATGGAAGCAACAATAAATCAAACTTCATAATAACCTTGGCTACTTCAGATAGAGTCGAAGGTTGAAATCATTCACACTCACACAAAGAACGAAGAAAAAAAAGGTAGAAAATCATTCACAATAAGATCGCGAGTTCGAAAGAAAAATTACCTCAATTAGGGAAGGGGGAAAGCTCTGATAGAGACGAAGTGAGGGAGACGAAGAAGAAACGACGGAGATGAACTTTCTGGTTGTGAGGGAGAGACCGGGATGAAGATTGGGATGGACAACGAGATCGTGAATGAGGGAGGGGAAGGACCGAGACAGGGAAGGAAAGGAGGGGAGGGCTGGGTTTGATTTCTTTTTTTAAATTGAGGGTAACTTAGTATTTTACAAAGCAAAATAAGGGGAGGGGTCAGAAATCTGAGGTGGAGGGGTCATAAATAGGTAAAAATCAAAAGAGGGTCAAAAGTCCAAAGTGGTTATTGAAAGGGGTCAAAAATCCCAATTTCCCCCAAGTCAATGGACTGAAAATTGTAAAACTAACCTCCTTTAGATGTTTTGCAGATGTGACATGTTTGTCCTACTTTTTGTAATTATTTGCAAAATGGTGCTCTAACTTGATTTCATCAATTCGTTTCTTACAACAAGTGGGGTTGAGAGTATTCGAACTCATAACTTCTTGATCAGACACAAGTATCAATTATCACTAAGTTAAGCTCATGTTGGCTCGTTTAGATATATTTGTGCTACTTTTCGTAATTATTTGCAAAATGGTGCTCTAACTTGGTTTCATCGACTCGTTTCCTTACGACAAGTGGGGTTGAGAGTATTCGAACTTATGACTTCTTGATTAGACACACGTATCAATTATCACTGAGCTAAGCACAGGAACAAAATTAAAATTGGTTTGTTTCTTACTTACAAATAGACTAGTAATTTTTGTGATATGATTTTTCTATAAAATTACACATTTGTCTCTAATGGTAGATCTTGGTCTACTCGGCATTCTCATCTTGTAATTGAGATTAGAAATAAGAACATTTTAAACAGAAAATTCATGGTTAAAGTTTTTCTTCTAACTTTTGGGGAAAAAATGTAAAAATTTACCCTGAATTATATTCGAGCCGTGGGATAAGATAGGCTGTATTTAAAAAATGCTATAAATCATTTTGATGGAGAGTATTAGTTAAGTTTTTTTTTTCTTCCTTTTTTTTAGTACTCACAAGCTTTTGTGTAACTTGAGGTGAGATAGCTTATGATATAACACTAACTAGACATGTCCAGCGTTTTAAATGTTGATGTCAATAAAAATGTCTGACGCATCAACGAATGTTTAATACCATGGACATGACTCAAAGTAAAAAATCGTTTTAAAAGTATCTCTTTATATGTAAAATAACTAATAAAAATAATTTTGTTTCCATTTATTAAATTACATATAAAATTTTTAGAATCGCTCCCACACTATTTGGATGGTACACCATATGAAATTATTACCATTAAACTCTGCTACCAATAAAATTATAACTATAGATTTTAATTGTAATATTTAATGTTTAAAGTACCAGAGAAATTTCTCAATTTGGAAGTAGTATTAAGTTTTAACCCCTATAAGAGTAGTTTTATAATTTTCACTGTTTTCTTCTAATGGTTGATGTACTTCCTTCATTTAGATCATAATTTAGAGTCTCCATCTCGCAACTGATGATTAACGATAAGATTTTTCCCCTGTAATGGCATAGTTTTATACAAGTAAGAAGATGAGATGTGACGAAGATAAAAGACAAAAATCTCTTACGGAAAAAAAAAACATTTTGCAACAAAAATGATACTACTCACATCAATCAATCTCAATACATCTCAATTAGTGATGCTTGATTTAATAACTTTATTAAGAAATCCAAGTACTTGAACTAAAAGGCATACAAACTACCTAGTTTAGGTCATCATAGATACTAAAGCATGTCACTTCACACACGATACTATCACCATCTCTTTTTGTAGGTTAGATGTAGGTATTTTTCGTAGCATTATTATAAAAATAAATGAATCGAGCATTGCTCAATGGGTAAGTCACCTATTACCACTTGAGAGGTCGATGGTTATCTATCAATGCAAATAGGAGCGGTATTATTATGTCACTGGTGTCGGATTGAAATAACGGTAATAAAGGAGTTTCTACTAAACAACAACGTTCTAGTGACAAGGATGGTCCAAATGCAACAAGGAAGCAGACAGAAAAGAAAGAAACCAGTTAAGGCAGTCTAAAACTCTCTCATTCAACCAAGGAAAACAGAACAAGACAAAAAAAAAAAGCTCTATTTCCAAGGCACAACAAGGGAAAGATATACACAACATGCCTAAATCACTTTGTTCAGTAACAACATCACAAACATGTATGGAAGAAAGAGAAGGAGAAGGTTGAGGATTATAAACGATTACTAACTCATTTGCTTTCCGAGGTAGATCTGCTGCCTGGATTAGTCTTTTCCCTTTTAAATAAGGCTCTCAGGTTCACGAAACAATATCTGAATGGATTCACCTGTATACAATTAATGCGTTAAAAATGGCTATAGTTACTTTTTCAATCTTCAGTTGCGATGAGAAGCAAAATGATTGTTAATATCATTCATTGATTAACACACACAGAGAAAGCTTGTGCACCTTCACGTTGCTTGATTGAACAAGTTGATTGTTAATATCGTCCAACCTCCTAATTATTTGCCGAAATGTGGGTCTTTTACTTGGCTTCTCATCCCAACATTCCTGGATTAGCCTGTAGACAAGAAAGTGTGGTAATTTAGATCAACTTCCTATACAACTATTGAAAGAAGTTTAGCATATTTTACCATGAGCTAACCAAAATAGAAAAGTATTCCAACTACAAAATGATAAATGAAAGAAAATATGACTGCCAATATTTAGTAGGCAAGCATGCAATATATAAAATGGAAAAGTAAATAAATGTATATTAAAAAAGGAACTTTACTCCTTTATTCCAGGTTCATAACGATTTGGGGGATCCTTAAATGGTGGGCGTTCATTAGCTATATAAGCTTTTGGTACTTCATTTTCTGGCTTTGTTGGAAAAGGTGGATGGCCTTCTATCATCTACATTGACACCATAAAATATTATGTAAAATATACATTTAGTAACTAAAAACTCAAAATCATTTGAAGAAGATGCAGTTCCACGTTAAATTAAATGAGCAACCCAATTGCTTAAGCACAATGGAATACTCCCTTCTTATTACTTAACAGAATCTGTAGACACATTCAGAGAAAAGTCAATTGATTTAAATCAGGAAAACTTACTAAAATCTCAATTTATTGATAGGAAATCTCCCAATACAACCTAAGCATGGCTTGATATGAGTACGTCTTTTACTTTCTGAATATTGACACTTTGAAGCATTTTAGTAGGCATAACCAAACCCGTATGATTTACAAATGTTAGGAGGGGACAATTATGTGGTTCTCACTGGCCGAAGGCTGTCATGACAGCTGGAGGCTTTCTGATAGTTATTCTATAGTACGCATGGAAAAAAGAGAAAGGGTGGGGGGAGGACAATCAAAGAAACAAAACAGGTCAGAACTTGAAGTTCCCGAACCAGGGATCAGAACTTGTTGAAGAAGTCATGGATATGAATGTTGATTTCACGTGGCCTTTTATGGTTGATAAGATGGGAAGTGTCTTCCATTACAATTACTTTCTACAAACATGGCATGTCCCTCGGAGGGTTCAGCTGGGTGGATTTTTTCTGTTATGGCCGTTAGGTGGGTGACCCATGGATGTCTTAGCAAAGATTCTTTTCAAGGAGGATAAAGAAGACTTAAGATGTAACCTATAGAGTACCTAGATCCCACATGTCTGTTGATTCGGATCTTGTAATTTATAATACTCCATTGTTAATAGTACCTTTTCTGGAATGGGCAAATGGAGTCTTTCCTTTTGCTTATTGAGTATGTCTAATGAGAGTCATAATAGATGCCTTTAAAGAGATGAGCCCAAATTCATTAGGCTTCAAATATGCACTTTCAATTTTGGTTGATATATGGGAATAAATTGGGCTCTCCCTAATTCATCAACAGTATGCCTTTTGGGAGAATAAGTTTATCTTTCCTGCCTTAATTGATACTGGAGATTCATGTTCAAGTTCCTTGGGTGCACACACGAGGGAGATTTTTCCAAGGAGAGGAGAATGATGCAGGGCATGGTTCGAACATAGGGGTAGACCTACAGGAACTAGTTGGGTGAACCAATTTGGGTTCATAAGCTCAACATGAGCATAGCTCAACGATTAAGGCATCTTGCTCATTCTCTAGAAGTCTGAGGTTCAATCTTCATCCCTACATTTGTTGTACTCAACAAAAAAAAAAGTGTTTATAAGGAATGCCTCGAAAGAAATGGAGCCGACACAGTAGGCTTGGATAGTGCACTTTCGAGCTTGGTTTTGAATCTAGAAGAATAAATTCAACTCTCTTCTATCAGTTAGAATTTTGAAATAATATGGTTCATGTGTCCTTAATTAAAAGATCACAAACCTTTATCTATATCAAATTATGAATACTAATTATTTGGCCCAATAGAAAGCAAGGATAGACTATAAATTGAGCTTGGGTAATCCTTCAATCAATTAGAAATTATAAACTCGCATGAGAATTAACTTCAGAAGAAATACGATTTAACAATGAGACATGCATACAATATTAATACCCATATCCATTGCCTTGCAGCACTTGCAATTATTTTCTTCTGTGAGCATTGAAGCCATTAGTAAATTCTCATGAACAATACCCTCGAGTAAAAATAATACATTATCACTTATAGATCCAAATTAATTCAGATGTGGATAATTTACAATGCATGACAATATGCACGAGTACCAAAAGAAAATGTCACAGCCAAGAAAAACATGAACTAGACCACAAGTTGTACACTGGCACACATAAGAGACTGATCGTGAGAGAGATTTCACCTCTTGCAAGATCAAAGCAAATGAAAATACATCCACTCTCGTATCATATTCTTCATTTTTGTAAACCTCCGGTGCCACATATCGGCCTGTACAAGAGAAACCAGCAACTTCCATAAAAGGGTACGAATAAAAAATATATATATGAGCATATACATAAGAACTGAATATTGTCATAATACATGACAAGACCTGCATAAAGGATCTTCATTCTATTTTTTACCAATGTTCAAGGATTGTTCAAATTTAGGCTTAGACCAGAATTAAACATGACCCTCTAAGAAACTAGACACTTGTAATACAAAGCAAAACTGGCAGGTAGATCCAAAGTGGTTGCCTTACAAGAAAGGCCACAATCAGAGCAATACATATGTATATGTTATACAATTCGACACAGCTCCCTCTGATAACACATCTAGAGAAAAATAACACTAATTTTAGTCAAAGCATAAACATACATGAAGTGTCGTGACATGTCACAGGTCTGTCTTCTTTGACCCCTTTTGAAACTTTTAGAAGTTTGCTTACTCCAAAGTCTGCAACTTTCAGGTGCCCAGAATCATCCCGCAGTATGTTTCTGTTGTCTTACTCATAAACAAATAAGCAACCTTCAAAGTTAAAATTGTTCAACAATTGACAACTTACATCTCATGCCATATTATGTTGCAGCTGATAACTTACAACTCATGCAAACATAAGTCTAACTCTTTAAGTACACCAATGGAAGGTTTTTTTTTTTAATAAGAAAACAATTCATTGAGGCAAAAGAACAAAAGAACAGCCTAAAGACAGGGACGAGGATAAGCACTTTAATCTATTGATTGAAGTTATTATAGTTCTATAGTCTAACCTACCGCCTTCAAGAGTTTAAATTTTTCAGTCCATCTAGATTGTCAGTATATGGTTCACCATCTTCGAACAGATGGTTACATATTACCATACCAAAGTCTATATGGTAGTTACAAATTATCCAGACAATCACAAATTATCCAGACAATCATAGAGGTTAGTATGATTATTAGATATCAAAGGAAATAGTTACATGTATTCTTATAGTGCTTGTTTCAGAAGATACTCATACTCTTTCTCCTCTAACATGTTTTATTCACTATCTTCAAGAAGCTAATAACTAAAGGAATTTGGGCATTTTAATTTCAATCTACATTCTGTGGCTTTTGATGTCCATGGGTTAGCTAAACCATACATCGGCACTTGACATGATCTACTCTAAACATTTCCAATCTACTTTATCCTTTAATTATTTCTTAGACTAAGACAAAATGGTAATGAGAAGAGATAAAAACATACGAAGGTTCAAGATCACGATGGACTATTGCTTCAGGTTTATGCTCATGCAAATAATTCATTCCCCTGAAAATATATTAGAATAATGTTAATAGGATTATAACAGATTAGAACAAACCACCACAACTGAATTGACCATATATACCATATCAACGACACGATTCAGTAAGAGGAATAGTAAGAACTTAAAGCAAATCCGTATTGATCAACTTTTATAAACAGCCAGTTTGGTGGAAAAAAACTAAACTACGGTCAATAAACATTTTGCAGTTATATCCAATTCATCAAACTACAGAAATTCGTCCAACATTATGCAGCATTAGAGCTGATTAAAAATGGAATCTTAGAATCAAAATGCAAGCTTGATTATGGGGTGCAAATTTTTCTTATATATTCATAAGTGAGCATGCAAGCTTGCACACATCTCAACTAATCTTAAATTTGATTGTCGAGAACTCTTAAGATATTAAATTATAGGTTGGTGGTTACTAAGGTTTGAACACATTCTCTCTAGCCTATTGGGTGCAAATCTTAATGTGCATGTTCTATCACTTGTGCTTTTTCCATTAATCATGGGCACTTCTAGTTCTGCTTTGGTTGAGATGATATACAAATTAAAACCAAACTTATTTGACTGTTTCTAATCAAAGAATGATCTCCTCCTAAACCCCAAGTAAGTATGATGTTGGATGCTTCTCGTCATTTGCATGACTAAGCCATCTTGAGCGGCAATCAAGATACTCCAATTTCAGAACTATGTAAAGACGCCTTCTTTCACCTTAAATGCAAGGATCAATATGCTCTTCAATGTGACTGGTACGAAATAGAACTAATGCATCGATGCATACTCCTTCACAATTTTTTTTTACTCTAATAATTGATAAATTATCAATTTTACAGAACAAAAACCTTTCAAACAAACTGAATGAACATAAAACTGAATTGACCTAGCAATGTCAAGAGCGAACTTTACAGCTGTTGCTAGCTTCAAGGAACCTTTTTGTTTCATGAATGCATCAAGGTCCCCCTGGAAGGAAAAAAATAAAACTTTTTTCATTAAAAATATTTCATTGATATATGAAATTTACAAGGCATTGCAAAAATGGTTTCTAATTGAGACATAGTATTGAGATAGTAATTATAAGAAAGCCAGGATCCAAGACACCAAGATGAAGAAACGAATACAGTAACTTCCCATAGTTGGTCCAAATTTCTAGAAGTGTCGTCAAAGACTCTTCAAGTTATTACATACTTGCATTAAACATGTAGATGCATGTTTGAATTGAAAAGAAAGATAAAGAATGTAGCCATAACTTCAGCATGGAGATTTTACCTTGTATCCTACCTAAATAGACCATAATATGCATTATTTCTTTCTCCATACCCACTATACCCTGAGGCTAATTTCAAATTTGACATCAACTTCTACAAAATTGAGAGATTTTAGCATATCGAGGGCAAGTGCTTCACTTTAATCTTACAACATGGTATTATAGGGGAATACTGCTGGGCAGATTTTCTAGAAACAATTTGAATGGAAACGTACTGTACTAAACAAAATCATTAGGAAACGCATAAAAAATACATCTAGATCACAACGTTGATGCATTGCAAAATGAAATATGAAATCTTAGAACTTCATGCACAGCTATCCATTTCACCATGTTGATATGTCACTTCATCATTTCAAATGACAATAAGGGAACACGGAGAAAAACTATTGCAAATTTCCAAGAGAATAATATGGTCAAATTTCCTTCATATAATGAAGTTGGAATACGGGACAGACCTGGGGTAAATACTCTGTGACAATCATCATTGGGCTACTTTGTGTTACAGCTCCAAGAAATTGGACAACATTAGGATGGCGTATCTTCTGAAGTAAAGCAAGTTCATCCCTAAATGCTTTCCTGTAAAATTAGAAATTTACTATAAAATAGATATTTCAAAAGATTTAAGTTTCCATATCTAATAGAACAGATGAAAAAGCTGTAGAGGTATCCAAGAGGACTTTCTGATGAAATTCCAATAACCTGAATACTCAGGGACCCCACGATAAATTATGGGGAACTATTGAGTCTACCTCCAACATATGATCAGTCAATGAAAGTACAATAAACATTAGAAAGAAAAATACTGTTTATAAAATGAAACCCACACTTTATCCTCATCAGTGAAAACTTCCTTGCCTAGTGTCTTCACGGCAACTTCAGTTCCACGCCATGACGCAATGCAGAAAGTTCCCTGTGTAATTATATTTAAGATGATGCAGAAGACAAGAAAAGTAGAATCAGTTAACTTCTTGTTTCTGAAAAAAGAAAAAAAAAACCCAAATTTACTAAGTAAATACGCATGAATTTAGATAAATTGGCTATATCCTTCTAGTTTTCTTCAAACTATAATAGGTTTCATTTCACCAACTTAGGGTCATAAGCTATCATAATATTGACATAGTTTTAGTTTAAGATCCAAGCAGGGGAGCTTTCTAATCTTAGCAAGATAAGTTTTTTGTCAGCGTGCTTAGACCAGGAGTGAAAATTTTGACGATAACGTTTTCATCGGATCAAAACGTGGTTGGAGTTCTTTTGTTCTTTCTAAGTGTAGGCTCCTCAAGGATGTTAAGGTAGTACTAAGATTAAACATACAAATTGGCTGAAATTGTTTCAGAACTTCTGTCAAGCATAACATCCCACTTGACAAATTAAACAGATAGCCGATTCATTTAGAGTTTCATCAGTTTTATACTTTTATCTAAACTGTTGAGTTTGTTGTCGTATTAATATACAAAGAAAAGTACATCAGAAAATATAAAATTTATGAAAGAAATTTGACACCATAGCGCGAATGTAAGGAGTAGGCAACAGCTTACTTTTGTAATGTTGACACGTTTAGAAAAATCAAGCTCATTTGGATTGATCTCATACTCAGGAACTTCACGATCATTTTGCACACGCATTGGAGCCACCTAAAATATGCGAGAGGGAATATTCCAGCAACTTGTAAGTACAATGAGAACATAGCAAGGTGAGAAGCACATACAGAAAAACAATTGGACGTAATGTCAATCACAGTTTCTTACCTGTGGCTTTGCACCATGTTTCTGTAAGAGTTTGATCACATCATGATTCTGGTAATGTATGGCATCTGCAAGAGGCTATTAAACACAAAATAAAGAGACTTGTCATGGCTCAAATCTTCACCCCTCTATGCATCGTTTGTAAGAAAAAGAAATACTGTAGGTACTAGACAAATCTTTTAGTCAATGTCCAGCATACCTATCAACTGTTTTCAGATACCTTATTTCAGTTTTCAACTACCTTATTTCCAGCATCTAACCTCTGTGGATATTTAGAGGAACCTTGAACCAAACAGAAACTAAGACACTGCTAACACCCATTTTCCTCATGGGCTCGATAACACAAAAGGTATTACTTCAATTACGAGGCAGAAGTAATAGTACTAATTAAAACAATGAACAACTTTTCCAATGAAGATGGCTAAGTATTGAAAGATAATCATCCAAAATTTTAACTAGTCGTGAACTTCTTCTTCTTTTTTCTTTTTGCGTATGAAAGTCAAGCCAGTTGAACAAACCCGATAAGAAAACCTCAAAATCAGCCATTTAATTCTACTATTACCAGAAACGAAGGATCCAGAAACTCACCGTGCTGCCCCAGCAGTCCTCAACGTCGACCTCCGCACCCCTTCTGAGTAGCAACTCAACAACGTCTGGCCTGCCCTGACAAGCAGCAACATGCAACGAGGTTCGGCCATCGCTGTCGTGAAAATTCACGTCGGTGCCCGAATCCAGTAGCTCCCTAATCCCATCCACGTCGCCGTCATTTGCCAGGTACATGAGCTTAATCCCAGGATCAATCGCGATCGGATCATCGAGCTCCTCGGCAACCACACCTGAGCCTTCACGCGCTGGCCTGAGCGAGGACTGTTTGCCAAGTGTGAAACGAGCTCGCACATGAGCATCCATGGAGGAAGGGGAAAAAAACGAACCACCACCTCCTTAAAAAACGCTACAACAGACAAAATTAATATGCTACATCCCCTCAAGGTCAGTTCTACATTGGAATCGAATTCTTCTTCCCCTTTCTCACGGAACAAAGCTTTATGCGCAAATTTTCGGGATTCTGAAGGATAAGAATAAATAAAATCGAAATGGAGGTATATTTTGCTGGCGATTCTGTTGGGATTTGATGGGACTGTGTCGCTCAGACGGCGACTTCCAGCGATGAACAGAGAAGAACTACGACTCAGTCACGCCGTAGAAAGTAGAAAATTTGCAGTTTTAATCAAGATTTTCGATATCGATAATCTCAATTCCTGTTACTGTCAGGTATCTTCCCTCATCAATATTTCTAATTCACTCTAAATTCTGATTTGATGTTACAACTTACAGATTAGAAATATTAGAAGATTCTTCAAACGCAAAATACCTGCAACTCAATCTCTATCCTCTATCTAAATTGCGCCAACTCGTGCCTTGGCTCAATTAGTAAAGCCACGAATATCGTTAAAATCTCTACCTTACCCATTGTACTTCAAAAAAATGGTTAAATCGAAACTAAAAAACGACCAAATTAAGTTAGATTTGAGCTGTGGTTTAATTTTCTAGCGTAAAAAATCGAAGAGATTTGGATACATTTTATTAATTTCGGTGAGCTTTTAGTTATTCTCCATCTATTTTAGTTGCCCACCTGTTGTTGTATTAATTAAAAACAATTGGTTAAAAAAAAAACCATTTGTATAGGGTTCTACTTTATTGATTTTATTGTTTATTAAGTTTTTTTTGGAGTTAAAATTCAAATTTCCAACTTTTAGTCGATGAAATGTGTAATGCCTAAGCTATTTAAATATTATAAAAAACAACTAAAACCAAGAGAGTAGGCATAGTTAAAATTTAAGTTAGGTAAGGGTAGTGTCATTAATGCCATCAATATTTTAAAATTGGTAATTATTGAGTCATATGAATTAGGTTAAGTTAATTTGGTTTCATACCATCTAAAATGGAAAGATATTTAATTACTTGATTGATCTCATTTTTAGTTAATTTCAACTRGCTTGTTCATTTCATTTCATATCAACGAAATTGATATATACTTCTTTCTTTTAAAGATCGAATGTCCAAACTTCTATACCTCTAATTTTAATCGGAGTATAGGCAAATATACACTTCAATTTTCATAAATTTTTAATAAATAGCTTGACAAAATGTCAGTCCAACTTAACTAAAAGAATGATGTCAAACCGAACCGGCCTCGAGGAACCCATTACCTTTTGACCACACGATGAGGTCACCAAAACACTAACCTATCATTTTCATCCTGTTCCTAATGTAAAGGCGGCTTGTGAATATAAAGACTCTTCAAAAAAGTAGTTGGTTTACTCATCATTTGCTTACTTTGGAGCCTTTATTGTCGGCTTGTTGCATCAATAATTTGGTTCTGTAAATTAGTCCACTTTTAACAATATTTCTAAATTTCAACATTATCTGTTATAATACCAACAAAAACCTAAACCTCCTACGAACGAAGTACGGATATGGATACATGGTGTACAAGGATACATGGTGTACAAGGATACATGATATACAAATTTTGTACGGACACTTTAAAAAGGTTATACAATATTATGTTTAAAAAGATGAGTTCGAGGTATTTCACTCTCAAAATTTAATATTTTATCTTATTTTATCTTATATTACTATTTATATCTGTTTCCTTAAGGAGTGCAAGTGTTGATTCCATTTACATTGTACAACTGGCATGTAACATACATCCATTAAACTTACAAATATCAATACGTGTCCCAAGTGTCGGACATGGACTTGGTGACCTAAAATCAAGTGTATGTACCTCTTGCATATAATGGCCACACAAAAATTTCATTCCCTTCACAATTTGATATCTGAAGATCTATGAAGTAAAAATAATTTGAGACTAAATTTCAAATGAAAAATCTGCGGACTCCAAAACACTGTCCACCTTTAACAGAAATGAAGAGTAATAGTTCGTTAAAAAACATATGCAAATAAAATAGTCAAACATTACATAGCAATCTTCTCGAAAAATAAATTAGAACCTCTCAACTGCGAATCTATAAGCGCTTCTCAACAATTACGCAACCACACGAGGGATTTACAGCTTGTCCTCGAACTCAGACAATGGGGTCATTTGTTCCTTTAATCCCTTCCTCTTGCGGATATCTGCAACTAGCTGCGCAGCCTGGGAACCAGACTCCAATGGATCCGACGACATCATGTCCCAATGGTCAAAAACGCACTGTGGGAATGCCTGCCCGGAAGTTGCAGCCCTCAGCGTGCTCGAGAACCCAAAGGACTCAATAACGGGGAGATATGCCTTAATGTTGTAAAGAGGGGTGCCGGGCCTCTGCATCTCCTCGAAGACATGTCCACGCTTCTGGTTAAGAACACTGTAGATACCACCAAGAGCTTGCTCGGGAGCCTGAATTTCCACCAAGTAGACTGGCTCAAGAAGTCTGGGTTTGGCTGTGATCTGAGATGCGTATATTACCCTCCTGGCAGTGGGAATCACCTGACCACCACCTCTGTGGATGGCATCAGCATGGAGAACCACATCGCACACTTCAAAACAGATGCCTCTCATGTTTTCTTCAGCCAACGCACCTTCTTTCGACGCCCATTGGAAACCAGCAACCACGGAATCCTTGATTTCGTTCAGATATTGAACTCCCTTACACATATCAACCACCATATTAGGTCCAAGAGTCTCAGGGCCAAAGCACCAGATCTTCTTAGCAAGATCTTTATCCCAACCAAATTCCTCCGATAAAATTTTGGAACGCACTTTAGGATCATCTCGTGGGCCAATGCGGCCATCGTCAATAGCCTCTGCCAGTCCATCCTCCAAGGGGCGTGCTTCCATGTACAGACGATTGTGTTTGTTGGGGGATTTACTCATCACTGTGCGGCAGGACCTCTCAAGGACAGTTTCACGGAAAGAGACGACGGGATCAGATTTTATGATCTCAGCTCCACCCATGAAGTCGTCTTGCAAATCCTTGAGACAGATCTCAAGGTGAAGTTCTCCAGCACCGGCAACAATGTGCTCACCAGATTCCTCCATGGTACACACAACCATAGGGTCTGATTTCGCCAGACGTTTAAGGCCTTCCACTAGCTTGGGAAGATCAGATGCCACNAAAAAAAAAAAGAGTATAGGAAGTCATAATGTTAAAAGCTAGGATATTCCGGTCTTTAATTCAGTTGTATACAAGACTCTTTAGTACCATCATCCATAGTGTTCATTTTACTTGAATGTGTTGCCTAAGCAAGAAATGGGACTTGCAGGTTATCACTCGGTATCAGGACTAAATTATCGGTACCCACTTGAATGCTCCCGTCATGCAGACATTTCCATTCTTTCCTCTTCAAAGGTTTTTTTTCCCCTTCTTTTAGTACTTCAAAGGTTTGATGATATAGTTTTACATCTTACTGTAAATTGAATTAAGGTGATTGTGAGTACTGTATTTCATTTGCATTTTTTTTATTTTCTTTGATTCCATCAATGCAAAAGGATACTGTATTTCATGTGAAAATTTTGACAAGGAGTGGTAAATTTACTATCTTTAAGGTTCCATTCATTTTATTTCATTAAAACTCAATACGCTTCTAATTGTAATTTAAGCATGTGATTCAATTATTGAATTTGAATATGTTCTAATAGTGTTACTATAGCATCCATCAATATTCAAAACCGAAAATTTTATTAAATAATTAATGAGGCGACCTTGCCAACCTCTAAGTAGGCGTCATGCGTATAATGAAATTCAGTTTTTTGGACTAAAATTCGAGCCCAAAATATATATGTGTATATATTTTTTAGTACACATTGAAGAGGTGATTCGAATTCTCGCTTTGACAAATCCAAAATATTGATCACTTTAATCGGGTAAATTTCCTTGTCACTGTAACTACACTCTTATCGTTGGAGTTGCGCTTTGACAAATCCAAAATATTGATCGCTTCCATCGTACAAATTTCCTTATTCGAACTCACAACCTCTTGTCACTAGAACTACTTTCTTATCATTGGAAGGATGCTCGCTTTGACATCCAAAATATTGATCGCTTCCATCGGACAAATTTCCTTTCTCAACTGTAGTTTATTTGATGATTGTTTTCACAACACATACAATAAAATTGATGGAAGGCATATTAGAGATAGTTGACAAATACTGGTTTAGAAATTTTAACCGTTTTCAAAGTGATTCCTGAAGATCTTAAAAACATAAATATTTTCAAGACTAATTTAGACCGATAAAAATCATTCATATTCAAAACATTGACTCAAATAAAACATAATCAACCGAAATGTATCTTGGTAGTCCATACAAACGCCAAATGAGAAGTAAAATAAGAGTTAAAAATAAAAAGGTTTTTCCAAAAAGATATAGGCTTTAATCCTATACGGTACGGTCCTGCTCCTGCAAGGTTCATATGGTCCTGTTCCTGCCCGACAAGTGATTTAAAGTTTGTCTTCAAACTCGGACAATGGGGTCATCTGCTCCTTCAATCCCTTCCTCTTCCTAATGTCGGTAACCAACTGCGCAGCTTGGGAGCCTGCTTCCAATGGATCTGAAGACATCATGTCCCAATGGTCAAACACACACTGCGGGAACGCCTGCCCAGAAGTTGCAGCTCTCAGGGTGCTCGAGAACCCGAAGGACTCGATGACAGGGAGGTATGCCTTGATGTTGTAAAGAGGGGTACCGGGCCTCTGCATCTCCTCAAAGACATGTCCACGCTTCTGGTTAAGAACACTGTAGATACCACCGAGAGCTTGCTCGGGAGCCTGAATTTCCACCAAGTAGACTGGCTCAAGAAGTCTGGGTTTGGCTGTGATCTGAGATGCGTATATTACCCTCCTGGCAGTGGGAATCACCTGACCACCACCTCTGTGGATGGCATCAGCATGGAGAACCACATCGCACACTTCAAAACAGATGCCTCTCATGTTTTCTTCAGCCAACGCACCTTCTTTCGACGCCCATTGGAAACCAGCAACCACGGAATCCTTGATTTCGTTCAGATATTGAACTCCCTTACACATATCAACCACCATATTAGGTCCAAGAGTCTCAGGACCAAAGCACCAGATCTTCTTAGCAAGATCTTTATCCCAACCAAATTCCTCCGATAAAATTTTGGAACGCACTTTAGGATCATCTCGTGGGCCAATGCGGCCATCGTCAATAGCCTCTGCCAGTCCATCCTCCAAGGGGCGTGCTTCCATGTACAGACGATTGTGTTTGTTGGGGGATTTACTCATCACTGTGCGGCAGGACCTCTCAAGGACAGTTTCACGGAAAGAGACGACGGGATCAGATTTTATGATCTCAGCTCCACCCATGAAGTCGTCTTGCAAATCCTTCAGACAGATCTCAAGGTGAAGTTCTCCAGCACCAGCAACAATGTGCTCACCAGATTCCTCCATGGTACACACAACCATAGGGTCTGATTTCGCCAGACGTTTAAGGCCTTCCACTAGCTTGGGAAGATCAGATGCCAC